TCAGAAGTTAGGAAATGGCAAAACCAAGTTTGTGCACTGTTAGTTTGGCCACTTTTTGTGAGTAGGTCACAGTATCTGATCAAGCCTTCAGTGCCTGATCACAAAGTGAGCTAAGGCTGCCCAGAAGGTGTCTAAAACTACCCAACTTTGTTTTCTTGACCTTATATAATCTTAAATTCTCCTAAGATAAGTATAGCTAGGTTTTTTAAAGTTGAACTTACACATATGCCATTTTTTAACCTGCATGTGTGTCAGGATTGAATGCTTCATGTTCTGCGTGTGGAGGCCCGTTCTTGACCTAAGCATCTGATGTAGTGGTGAGTCTGAGCTGAAGCAGCAGGTGGAGGCCACACACAAGTGTGATTGGAGCCAAGAATTTTTACTTGAGTTCTGAGCCCAAAAGAGCGTTTCTGCGAAGGCTGCTGCCTCTCCAGCCCAATTTCTTTCCTGATCTGTTCTGCCTGAGCTGTCAAATGACTCCGTTCCCTCTCTCAGCCCTTTGGTTCAATCCAAGTCATCTTTGTTCTTTCACTCCTCCTTGGCAAAGAAGCCGATGTTCAGCCGAGCGTCTTTAAATGGCTTTTCTTCTCTGCTGCCTATTTTATTTTCCATCTCTGTCTCTTTCTTCTCATTGCCCTTCCACTCTTGATCTTCCCTGCATGCATGTCATGGACTTTAGGCCAAGGGAGCTCTCAGGCTGCACTGGGGCTGCCTGGCAGAGCATTCCCACGACATGTCTAACTCTGGTCCCAGATGCTTTTCCCATCCTAGGGAACCACTCACCTTTCTGCTTCCTCTTTGATCGAATCTGTTCCTTCTTCTTCACTCTGTGACAATGAGTCCTGTCAACCATCTCCTTTCTGTCTCCACCTTTTTTCCTGCTGTTTCAATGCAGCATATGTATCTATAGTAAATAGCAGGCTTTTATATTTAGTGCGGATTGTTTATCAAACCAAGCACAAGCTCAATACTGTTAATATATCCAGAAGTGTTTTAAAACTTTTTTTGTGTGTTTTGTTTCAGTTTAAGAATTGTTTGGGAAATCTAGAAGGCAAAATATGTTCTAAGGCATTTTAAACAGGGGGACATGAAGGTGGCTAATTGGAAGAATAAGTTACTGTTAATTGAGCTGTGAAGAGGAGGTCGGGCCCGTGACTGTGTCCAGCAAACTCGGCTCATGCTTTAAATTTTTGTGCCTGCTAGAGAAGCAGAAAATTGCAGAGGCGACTTGTCTGAGTAGCTTATGATATTAAAGAAGATACAAAAGGCTTTCATGCTCAGACTCAGTGCAGGAAGCTAGTAAATGTATTCAGAGTGTTTGAAAATTACTTTCTCTTTCTTCTTTTTTGGAGTGTTTAAAAATGATTAAACTTTTAGAAAATATTATATAAGAAGTGAATGGAGAAGAGTTTTCCAAGACACATATGCCTGTTACCATTGACTTTCAGCTCAAAAGTGCACGTTAGCTTGTTTTTTCTACACAAATACAGTAAAAAAGTATATATGTGTATTTTCCAGTTGAAAGGAATCCAGTAGTCAGGACTAATGTTTGTTGTCTATATCCTAGACCTGTTTTTCTAATGCAGTGTTAGACATGAAACATGAGGTTACTTGGGTTTGTCTTGTTAATGTCAGATAAAGATAAACGAATTGCAGAACTAGAAGTTGGAATCCTGGTTACATTTTGAGCCAGGCATACAGCCATGCAAAAAGCTAATAAATGTAACTGGTGCTTCAGAAGGGCAGAGCTGATCAAATTTCTGATCAAATATGGTAGCAAAGAAGAAACGAGATGGAAAACTGAATTAGAATTGGCAGTTTTCTAAGTGAAAGTTATTAAATGGCCAAAAACCCAACCATTTTGCAATCAAGAAGGGGTACAGCTTTGGCTAACCGCCCATCTTGTTTCAGTGATGAAATGAAGGGAAAAATTAGATGTAAAGTAATACAAAGCAAATAAGGAAAAGGGAAGCAGACAGCAATCAACTCAAAATGAGAATTATGAAGTGTAGAAAATTAATAAGGGAAGCAATAGCGAAAGGAAAAGAAAAATGAATGAGTTGGAGTGCTTGGAGAGGGTGATAGAGACCTGAAGTTCAGAGGAAATCTTTGCGGTAGGATAAGGACCATTACTAGATGCAGGTGATAAAACCACTAGTGATCATGTAAGAGAAGTAGGAAAGTGATATAATTCATTAGCAATGCTTCATATTAAAGATTAACATTTTTAAATTCAGTAGGTCTAGAAACCTTGTGTCAGTACTTGTAAGGGAGATGCCTGGGGCGATCTCTGACCTGCCAATGACAAGGTTGGCAAACGGGACGGGACAGCCTGGGTGAAGTGCTTAGCGAGCATGAGACCCTCAGGGAAGGGATGAAAGGGGAGATGAGTGTTAATGAAGGTGCATGATGTAAGTAATTTCATTCTGTCTTCGTTTTTTTTCAGTTTTCTTTGGGATTAGAGTGAATTGAGTATATCTGGGCCACTGTAACACTTGGTGTTTTCTGACAATCACACCTCTTAGAAGGTTGTTGAAAGAGAACCGTAATGAAACAAGGATGCTCACAGAAGGGTTCTGCTAGGACCCAACACGATTCAGTGGTTCCAGATCACTGGTGAAGACAGATACAGAATCACTACTGATAAAATGTTAACATGAGAAAAATATCCATACCCAGGGCCAGAGTGAATAAGAGCTCCACATGTTCCCAGTGTAGTCCCAGGGTGAAAGATGAATGACTCAGAAAGTGTTCTTGTTTTTCGTTATCATTAGCAGTGATTATACTCCTGTCTCAGCTGTGAGAGTTGGGAATTTTAGATGCAATTTGGATATTTACATTTTAAAAGAGAAGCTGAGTAATTGGAATGGCTGCAAAAAAGGATTCAGAAATTACTGGTGCAGTGTGAAAATGCATTAGAGAAGGCGAGAGAGAAAACTCAGTTGGCTGAGCTTATCTACCAGAATTGAAAATGTCTTGATTACAGTGCACAAGTACCTTCACGGGGAGAAAATACCGAACACTGCAGCTCTCTGATCTTAAAGAGAGCAACACAACAAGAATCACTGACTGGCAATCAAAGCCAGGCAAATTCAAATTGGAAAAAGACACAAAATCTTAAGAGAGTAACTGTGTAATTTAGGAATGTTTCTCCAAAAACTGTGAACAGAACAATAAAAGTTATGATATTTATGCAAAGAGCTTTTTCATGGCTTTTTTTTTCTTTCAGAAGTGTACTTAAAGGAGCGGAAACAGAGGACAAAGAGGCTCCTGATGAGGCTTTCACAGGGAAGTTTAGTCAGCGTAGCCCGTGCATCATGCAGAGTTGTGGAGCTGTGTCTGAGCGTCCAGCGCTGCTGGAGCCGAGTGGTTGTTGTTGACCTGCTACGGGAGGTGGTGGGAGCCTTTTCAAGTGTTCGTTGCATACGTGGCATAAGTATGTGATGTTGTCTTGCAGCTTTTTACATCATGTTAATCCCATCACCACCTTGAAAAGATCTGTGGTGTTGGAGGAGTTTTTACACCATGCAGTATCTGAGTTTAATCTATTTCCATACTATGTAAATGGGAAAAAAAAAAAGTATCTGCACACAGATCTCATTCTTGGGGGTAAATGTAGGGCAGGAATTGCCTTCCCCCTCTTCCACCCACCCCCTGTTCTTGCCACGGACATATTTGGTCCTGCAGAGACACGTAGCTTTGCCAGTTTGAGTCACGGGAGCCTCTCCTCTGCTGCAGTGAGAGACTGCTCTGGCATGGTGGTGGGAGATGGGTCTGCCAGAGAAAAAGTTCTGCTGTGTGTGTGGTTTACGTGAGGTGCAGCTGTGCCACCCTGGGCTTGTCCCTGTCTGATTGAGGACATGCCAAAGGGGATGCCCCATTCTCCAAGATGCCCTTCCAGTTCTTCAGATGTTTGCCCATGGATCCACACGCAGTAGCAGGCAACAAAAC